ATTTTTAATAGATTAATGTGTTTTATCTTTTAATAAACAGATATAGAAGCATCTAATGTCAACGATGTTATATTGACTACGAATCAAGTTTGTCAGAATTACACTTTCTTAAACACCAACGTTCCTGTTGTTATTGTAATGCAAAACTCTTTCAATTTGAACCTCCTACATTTTGCTGTTATAATTGGAGAGGTCATGCTTGCTCAAACAATTGTTCCCGATCAACTCTATGAATTATTCACCTCATGTTCACCTGATTCCAAAGAATTCAGAACTAAAATAAGAGCATATAACAGTATATTTGCATTCACATCTTTTGGAGCCCATATAGATACAAATTTGGCTAATGCAAGACAAGGATTTATACTTTTAGAGCTCAAGGTCAAATTTATCACAGTCTACCTCCTATTACGAAAGGTTCAAATGGTCCATGCTACTTCCAATTATAATATTTAGACACCGATGCTGAAACAAACAATCGAATGAATGTAATTGAAGATTTAAATATTTCTGAGGAATTGGTCAAGAAATTGATGTATATACTTTCTATAAATCCATACGCTCAATTCTTCAGATCATTGAATAATAGAGATCTGTGGAATATCCAAATTACATAAAAAGTTTACTAATATTATTTATTTAAAATAAAAATATATAATTTATTATAATTTTTTTTTGAAATATATATAAATTCTTCTAAAATTTATATGACAAAAAATCTTATATATTTACACGTAAATTTTGATTGTAATTTCTAAATGACAGTAAAAAAAACTTATTAAAATTAATTTATTTAAACTCAAATATAAATATTTTTTATAAATAAAATTACAAATTTGAATATTAGATATTTAAATGCAGGGGTATGTTTGTAAATTCCTTAAAAGAACATAATTTCACACCTTCGGAAGCAAAATATGAAGAAGATCGTTAGCAGGCACTGAATCAGAAGCATCCGCTAGCCGGGCGAGAGTCCACCCTAGGGGGTCGCCGGCGGCTGGCCGCCGGGGCTTCGGACAGATCACCGGACGATCGACGGAGCCGAAGAAATTCTTCTGCTGGATACCGAAGCCCCTTGCCATCGCCAGCTTACTAAAAGTAATCAGCACCAGAGAAAGAGAGAGAGAGAGACTGAGAGAGAGAGGAAAATGGAGGAGAGAGAAAGGAAGGCTTGAAATGGAAGGTGAAGAGAGAGAAAGGATTGAGAGTCTTTATAATATCTCTGAAGAAAAATAAAAATAAAAATACAAATAAAAATTGGGGGGAAAAAAAAAAGGAAGAACGGATGCAGCGAAGGAATTGTACGGCAAATAAAAGTGATTTTTTTAATAAATTAAAGTATTAAAAATATTTAAAAATAACTATGAGAAAACCTTTCAACCATAATAATAATATAAAAAAAATTTGGTCATAAAATGTTATTAAAAATCATTAAATTAGAAATGTGTTGACTAAAATTACATAGCTTATATGAATTTCATTGTAAATATTTAAATATTTTGATCATAGAATTTTATGACTAATTATGATATTGATAAAAAATTATTCTTAATAAATTTATAGTTGAATAATGTGACTTAATGAGAGGAATATAATAATATCAATATTCGGATTTGAACGAATCTTAATTAAGTAATTAGTCGCAAAAATTAAAAATTTAGGAAGTTAATTAATTGAACTGTTTAATTAGTAGTCTCAGACTTCAAAAGCCATTGGTGCCCTCAAGATTTTCTTTCCCTGATGACTTTCATCAGCCGTTCGCATTATTAAAGGCCTAACTCTTCCTTGTTGCCTTGAGCCACAAGGCAAGCCATGTATCCAACAACTGCTTTGTCTGAGTTCAATTTGATTTTGTAAGTTTATTTGCTTCCTCAAATATGTAAGTTTTGTTTGGGATAACTTTCTTATTGTTTCATGAAGTAGTTTTTTAGTATAAAAATTAAAAATTTTGTTTTATAAAATTGTTTTAAGAAACAATAAAAAATGGTCCAATTTAGGGTTGATGGTCTGTGAAAGATTGAATATTGATGTTAGCATAGGATGTCCTATAAATGAAGGTACAAAATTATTCACTATGATTAACCCAAATCATAATTATAATAGTTTATTATACTATAAATAATACAACTTAATAATACAAAACATGAATGTGATATACTAACTAGCAAAGGACTTGAAAGGCAAACCTTTGCCTCACATACAAAAATAATAGCATGATGGAGATGCAAAGCAATGAAGAAAAATTTAAAGATTCCCAAAGAGAAATGTACAATTTGGAAATTGATCTTCCAACCAATATTCCTTGCTTTGATATGCAACAACAATTAATATATGGGATCCAACAAATATTTAAAAGAATATAAGGTGGTCTTAAGGTGCTTCAAATATGTATTATTAGCCATGTGTTATTTCCAAAATAATCTATATTTGTTTAGGATTATTAGATAAATATTGATAAAAATTATTATGTGTTTCTGTGTTGATCTTATTTTCTATTTTTCAATTTTTTTTTTATTGAAACAAATTTTGCCAATGTGACGCAAAAGTAAATTGAGTTAGTTGAGTTTAGATGGAATATAAATGAGACAGCTTTCTTGAAAGCAATTAAAAAGCAATGGCCGCCAAAAGCTGCCCCAAACGATGGCTTCATATAAATATATATTATAAATGTTGAGGCACTTGTAATATATATATATATTACAAATTGGGGCACTTGTAGTTATTTGTGGACGTAATTGTAAAATTGTTGTGAGGAAATTAATTTTTAAAAAGCATATTATAATAAAAATTATCTTTTTTTTTCTTTTGAAAAGCTTAGGTAATAACTTTATTATATCTAATATTCTAATAGATTTGGTTGGAAAAAGCTACTTTTTGTCATAGAATTTTTTGACAAAGGAGTAACAAAATAATAGCCAAATAGATGTGTGGCGTAGAATTGAAAAACAAAGCATAGAAAAAATGAAACCAAATGATTCCTATGAAAAAACTAAACCAAATGAATCCTTTGAATCATTTTGAAAAACAAAACGACATAATATGCTCTCATTTTGAAGCCATATATATATATACTTATGAATGTCTTCAAGCAATAAAGGCGCCAAAAAAGCAATAAAGGCGCCAAAAAAGCAAAGCGGCCAATGTTATTATTACCACAATTTAGTTTATATTTGAATAACTTGCGTAACACTTAATAAATAATTAGATGAAATCATATAAAATTTGGCATTATTAAATCACTATAAGTCAATTCTAACACCTATGATATATGTTAAGGCATAGAGTCATATTAGGTAAGTTGACCAAGATAAGACATGGGTAGCCATAATTTGATCAAAATTTAATCATTTGGGCATCCAATGTCTACCATCTATTATGTGTGTATGTATATTTATATATATTATACAAGTTATAACTCTTATGACTAGTCGGATATCTAACAAATAGGCAACATTTGGCACAATGATCAAATTTTTTAGTGCGATAAACAAATAGCAAAGTAACATAGAAAACCAAAAAATTTCAAGTGATTAGTGATGATGATTTGTTGTAAGGAAACGTAGAATAGGTCTTGTTATATAGTATGTGTATTGTTAGTAGTTGATAGGATAGATAGTAGTAAAGAAACATACGCCCTAAAAATAAGTGGCAAGCGGGATTAAAAATATAATGCTCATGCAAAAATAAGAATTTGTTGAATTGTTGATGCTTTCGTTCCATAAATTAATTTTGTTGCTTAGTGTAAATGTGAGTATGCTGATGCTCAATCTCATTATCATGAAAAAAAAATACGTGAATTGAAATTTAGAGCTATTTTTTAGGCTTACAGCATTAAAATACTCATGAAATTGATATATATATTCAATCAATTAAAGAATTCAAAATAGTTTGTGCATTGAAATTATACATGTTGTTAGCTTTTACGACTCTAAGAAATGTGGGGAATTAAGTATAGGTAAATTTAATAAAGGACTTCAAAATATTTTGAACTTTTGTTGCATGACAAAATATTCACATGCATATTGTTACATCATGAACATTGCACGCGTAAGCTTTTAAACCAATTCCTTAAAAAAAAAAAAACATAAAAGAATTTGTAAGAGTTCATCATAATGGAGAGTAAGAAAACTTTGTCCATTTCCTAAGGACCACACTATTAATGTTATGGGTGAATATGTTGATTGTTTCATGTTCTCACATTTTTAAATTCCCATGTCATCTTTTTCTATTTGCATGTCTCTTTGGTATAATATCCAACAATTATATGGCCAAATCTAATATGCAATGATTCTATTTTTAATCTTTGAAATTATCTGAAAGGTTGTGTTGACTCTAACAAATCATATGTTGTTGCATTTCTTCCTACATGGCAAGTATGTATGATAGATATTTGTTTATGCAATTATTAGTATGAACTCCTCTTTTAAAGTGTCATTATAGCTCATGAGAATTATAATGTGCTTTCATTTGAAAGAAAATAGGGCTTCTTCAATACGTCTCTAGCTAATCCCAAAGGCTTTTGATTTGGCAAAATACGCTGAACGTATCATGATATCTAGTATGACCAAAATTAAAGACTTACACATTATAGATGATTCTTTTTTCTGAGAACTGATATTCAGAAGCCTTCTCAAATTTGAAGGCGTATACTATAGACTCATTCTACAACTGACATATTCTTGTTCCTCAACTTTGGAGGGTATTGAATTGCTCTATTAATGAATCTATCTTATCATTGGGGCCATGAAAGCATGGATCATGATACACTCAAAGACAAATATTTGGCACCATTTAATTTGGTAAAGAAGACCATAGGTTTGGAATATGAAGTATGGCTTAGATTGATCCATATCGAAGTTGATGTTAGCGTCGAAATGGCTTGCAAAGAGATCATTGTGATGATTATTAATCTTCTCCTAATTATTTTGTGTGAACGCCGAACGCCGAACGCCGTCCGGAGACCAACCAGAATGAGTCACATCGGTACCGGGCTCGATACTACTCAGTATGTGATGATTATTAATCTTCTCCTAATTAATTTTTGTGTGAACGTCAAACGCCGTCCGGAGACCAACCAGAATGAGCCACATCGGTACCGGGCTCGATACTACTCAGTATGTGATGATTATTAATCTTCTCCTAATTATTTTGTGTGAACGCCGAACGCCGTCCGGAGACCAACCAGAATGAGCCACATCGGTACCGGGCTCGATACTACTTAGTACCGCTGTGATAATTCTGATTGGTGTCCGGATGTAGAGCTGTGTTCAGCATCTGCACATAATAATTTCTCCTTCATTAGCCATGTTTTTAGCAAAAACAATAACAATATACCATGTCAAGAAAGTAACATGTAGAAGCATATAAGGAGATAATAGCTTGATTAAATATGTACATGATGGTGAAAATAGATTATTCTTTTTTCTTAGAACCGGTCTTTGGAAGCCTTCTCAAATTTGAAGACGTATACTCTCGAACTCATTCTACAACTGACATATTCATGTTCCTCAACTTTGGAGGGTATTGAATTGCTCTATTAATGAATCTATCTTATCATTGGGCCATGAAAGCAAGGATCATGACACACTCAAAGACAAATATTTTGCACCATTTAATTTGGTAGAGAAGACCATTGGTTTGGCGTATGTAGTATGGCTTAGATTGATCCATATCGAAGTTGATGTTGGCGCCGAAGTGGCTCGCAAGAGATCATTGTGATGATATTTGATCTTCTCCTAATTAATTTGTGCGAACAACGACCGCTGTCCGGATACCAACTAGAATGAGCCAAATCGGTACTGCGGGTCGGTACCGCTACGGTAATTCTGATTGGTCTCAAAATATAGAGTTGCGTTCAACGTTCACACAATAATTTCTCCTTCCTTAGTCATGTTTTTGGCAAAAATAATAACAATATATCATGTCAAGAAAATAACATAAGCATATAAGGAGAGAATAGCTTGATTAAATGTACATGATGGTTGAAATATTACAAATTATGTTACCACTTAGCCCAATATCCAAAGCAAGGCAAAACAAGCAGGCCAACTCTACTGCAGGAAAAACCAAATACCCCCAAAGAAGAAACCAATTACACCAACTTAGAAACCAAATCAATTAAAAATGAAAATTTTAACAGAAACAAACAATCTCATTCAGTACAATAACGTTCTTTAATCATAAATTTCGCAGAAATTTCATTGATGAGACGCAAATTTTGAAAACGCAACATAAAAAAATGATCAAAACGACAAATTTATACAAAAAAAAAAAAAGCTGGATCCAATTGAAATCAGAATTAGGAAGGATTTAATGTAGCTGACGAAGCGTTCACTGTCCTTTACAATACGCCAAAGCTCATGTCAAAGTTACAAACTCTGAGAACCTTGGAATTGCGACAGGATATATTATGATTTATACAGGATAAGGAGAAAACGATTATTCTACTCATTTCTTGAAAGCTACAACAAATATTTCTCAAAACTGACGCGAAAAATCAGTGATCTACAGGTAATTCTAATCCTAAATCATCCTAAAATTAACTTTTCTTTTTTTGATTTCTCAGTTAAACAGATCGATATGGAGATTTCAAACCGCAAGCTCAAGCTGCAGATCAGCGCCATAGTCTTCTTGTGCCGCTGGAGAAGTCTTTCCGCACCACCGCGCATCGTCCCTGCGGCGGCTCAGCGGTTCAAGCCCTAGCGTGAGCTCCAGCCCCATTTCGCCTTCTTCGGAATGGTTCGGCTCGCCCTGGCTCACGTGGGACGCCTCTACTGTTTCTACAGAGAACATGCTCTCGTTCTCAGGTCGGCTTCCAGCCGACTCATGGCTCCGCGTCGGCGCCGCATAGCACCAGTGCCTTCCCGACGACTCCGGCGAAGCCGGCGCCGGAACCTGAACCCCGGCTCGAGTTTTCGCATCCGCACCAGCGCGCTTGAACCGCGTCCGGCATTTCCCGACCTTGTGAAGCTCAACCGGGTAACCTCCGCCTTCCTTGCTCGAGTGGCGAATATCATATCCCTTAAGCGGCGGCGCCGGACTGGACTCGGCTGCCTCAGACGAAATCGACACGATCGGCGATCCCCTGAGAACGGATTCAACCGCAGATTGACAGAGCTGCCAACTTCCCGACCAGAGAAGCCCCACCGACCCATATATCGGGTTCACAATTCTCCCGCAAGCCTCATACAACAGCGATCTAAATATATCTGCAACAATCATCAACAAACAAACTATTAGAACCCCAAACCCATCACCATCAAGAAACCCAAAACCGATTAAACAATCAGAATGAGTACCCGGCCGGACATGCTCGGGTCCAGCGTTGATCAGATTCATGAGCCCAGCCCGGCCGTAGAACTTCGCGAGAAAGACGGTGGCGTTTGCCTGCGCCTCGGGGTTCTTGATCCACTGCAAGCACGGCCGTATACTGCAATTATCACTGCATCCTTTCCGCAGCACTCTGCATCCATTGCAGCTCATTCTCATGGCTTCTTCGATCGCAGAAGAGTGAGAGAGATAGAGAGAGAAAGAGAGAGAGAAAGAATAGGAGATTGAGGGGAAAGCGGAATTGGAGAGGAGGGGGTATTTAAGTAATTTTCGGAGGAAGGGGATGAGGATCTCGCTGCGGGTTTAGAAGAGCGGCCAGCGGTTTCGGTAGTCGGAAAGCGGATTCACCCGCTTGGCTTATATATACTCTCGCCGTAGAAGGTAGCGTCGTAATTACGTAAATGCCACTCTATTTTATTAAAATATTTTGAGAGAACTCACATGTTAATATGCTATTTAATTTTTTTCTAAAATATATGTGCTTATATTTAGATGTAAATTATATTAAAATAAATTAAGAGTCATTAAAATAATTTATAAATTATTATATTATTAATTTTTATACACTAATTTAATGTAAATTTAGTAAATTTTAAATTCAACTTAATATTATGAAATATTTTTTTAAATTTTTAATATAAGAAATATATTATAATTACAACAACATCAAGTCTTTATCCCACTATGTGGGGTCGGCTACATGAATTTTTTTTCGATGTTATGTCCGATTAAAAGTCAAATTCTAATTTAAATATAATAATGAAATATCATTTATAATATTTTTTTTAACTAAGTCTTTTTAGATCTGCCTCTATTTTTTTTAACATAAGTCAAATCTAATACATCTAAAAATAATTTTTTTATTAATATATTTATCATATATATAAATATAAATATTATATTTTAATTTTTAAAGCTCAATTTACCCCTTGAAGAAGTTGGCAAATAGCGTGTATTGGAGGGGTAAAATTGGGAAACCAGGCGGAAGAAGACGAATGCTCATGCAGGAGCACAGGAAGCGGCGCGTGGCGTCCACGCTGTGGCGGAGGGCTTCGGGCGTATCGCCACATATGCGGAGAGCGGAATACGGATTCCAGAATCCGGGAACCGATTTTGTCCGTATTCGCCCGAAAGCGGTTTTCGGAATCCCGGGAAAGCGGAGTCCCAGTTTCGCGGGGTTCGTACGACGAAACCGCTTTCCGTCTCCGAAAGCGGTTTTCCGGTTTTGAAACGGTACTATGGGCGCCCCACGACAGTTTATCTCATGCTTATCTAATTAATGAAGACCCTCTCTCTGTCTCTGCCGGTGCTTTCTTTTTCTTATCTCTTTGATTAAATAATTTAATTATTTAGGAAATATTTTGCCTTTGTTTTATTGGGGATTGATGTAATAATTTAAGTTATCTAAAGTTCTTAAATTATGAAAATATAAAAAAATTAAAATCCATAGGGCTAGTGGAGTTTATTATTGACACAATTCAAATTTTATTGAAAAATATTTGAGTTCGAGTTGATCCGTTTAATAAAGGGGTCAGCTTTAGATCCAAAATTATGACTCATATTTTAACAGGGTTGAGTTCGTGTTAGGGTTGACCCGCTAACTCAATATTTAACTTGAAAGTGACTTGGTTAATATTTTTTATATTATTTTATTTTTTGGTATAATATCTTATTTTTGATTAATTAACTTAAAACTCTACGGTTGATAACGTATAATTTCTTTTAATCAAAATGAGTTATCAGGACGTCTAATTTTGGTTCACTCTTTTGATCTGTTTATTAAACAAGTTGAGTTTAAATTGACATGATTTGGGTGGGTCAATTTTAGATAAGTACTAAGGCTTTGTTTAGGATGACTTTTTCGATGTTTTCTAAACCAGTTTTCTAGTATAAGATTTTTTAGTTAAAATTTTTTAAAATAAAAAATTGTTTTAAAAAGCAGCAAAAAAGCCGCTATTAACATGTTTTGATATCCCTGTATAGGGCAAACATTTTTATTTTATTATTTATTTTTTTAAATGTAGCATAAATAGTATATTTTGATATGATTAGTGGCTAAGTATGATTTCTAGATATTTTGGTTATGTTGATGAGAAATATTATATTAAAATATATACACAAAAATTATGTCGCATGTGTTTTGGTTAGTTGGATAAATAAAATATTTTAGAAATAAACTTAAATTGGATTGATTTATCTACAAAAATTGCTAATAATAAATTCTTTATAAATTTTTTTGAAAAGTGTAGTTGTACAGTGGAATTTATCTAGGTGCAATTGAGAGTTAATAGTTAATATTAAGTATAATCATACAATTCTTTGATTTATCTCAACAAATCTCAATTTTGTTTTTTCTTCTTAATTGCCCATAAATTAAGGGCATTAAAATGGATTTTTGGGTCGGGTTTGATCCAACTCGAAGTTGATCCACCTTCAACCCCCTTACTTGAACCCGACATGATTTGCAAAATAAGTCTGATTCCTGGACTTGAACAGTTGAAACCGACCCGACACACCGACCAACAAGGCAGCGAGGCGTGCACTAGTGCAGGTGCGAGCGTGTATAGCTGAAGGTGGTGAGAGCACGTGCGACGTGCAAGTGAGGGCATGGGGGTGCGTGCGAGCGAGCGTGCGTGTAGGTACGATAGTGGCCTCAAGACGGGAGTCCGGGACTACTGAGGGTGTGGGATGTGGGAGAACCGAGTCATTTCAGGTTAATTTTAGATTTTTCGCTAGTGTAAAGAAGTCACTCTTCTAAATGATCTTGCCTACACATACCAAGGAACTCATTTGTAGCTCATTGAGATTTCTTGTCATGAGAACTCAATATAGTAATCACCCTCTTCATAGCATTTGCTTATAAATCTCGCCCATCTTATAGCTGGCAGCCTAACTTGCTCGCCACAAAAGTGGCTATACTAAAATAATTTATGATATATTTTTATTGTTTTCATATCCCATCCTTCACCATTGAATTTTATTCCTATTATTGATCCAAGGTTGGCATGATATAATGTCACATGACACCATTCGAATTTTTTTTCCTTTCAAATATTACTCATTAGAATTTTGTCAAAACTTCTATCTCTAGAATTCCTAATCAAGTAAACTTATTCTCTAATTTTGATATTCTCTTTCTATCCTCCTTAGGATTAGTCCAAACTTGTACTAAGGTTATGATGCGACTCCGTGAACAATTATAGCTCCAACATCTTCAAAGTTGCAGTGAGTGTGAATAATATTATATACAACATTAGGTCATAAATTGGAGAAATTATTCTGTGCAGAGTCCGGACGAGAAGAATTGTCTGGACATGTGAGTGTACACACCATATACAAATTTATACACAATGTGTATCAACTTTTTGTATAAACTGTTTGTACATAATGTGTACACTTATAGTCTGGATGGTTCTTCCCGTCCGGACTTCGCATGGAATAATTTATCCATAAATTATCCCAAAAGTGTTCGCTAAAGAGCAACCATATAATAATGAATTCTTCAGTTGAATTTATTGTTGAACAAATGGAAAGACTTGATCAGTTGATCCTAGTAATTTTTTAGTGATTCTTGTAAGGCTTCAAGATTTTTGTATTACACAATCACTTCGAGCATGGTATCTAGTCTTTACAATGCTTTCCTATCTTTTCTCGAGCTCTTTATCCGGCCCCAAGAAAATAATATTCCTTGAAATTGCAATAACGTAATATTCCAGTGAACCAGTATTCAATAGTGGTAATCCCACATATCCATAGTGAAGTAACACCCTAGCTTCTAAGCTTATTCATCTCTTCAATATGAAGGCTTGAACAATGACAATCATCCAAGTTAGGTCTTTAGCCAGGAAAATCTTTCATAAACTACACACTTTTAGGCTCACACATTATGAACTATACTTTTCTTTATATATTTATTTGTCTTAGTTCACTAATCAAGAATAAATACTCGATTATCAAAATCCATCAATAATAGTTAAAGATTATAAGCGAGAATGACAAACATATTATTGTCATAATAGTTCAACAGTTTTGATTTAATTGGTGACTAAAGCAAAATCTCTAAAACATGAACGTAATCTCGATTTATATGGAACGATTGGTAATTCAGGGGTAGAACTAGCCTCTCTAATGAAAGTCATCAAAGTAGATATATGATGCATAATTTTATGTATGAAATAGAAAAAGGAAGTTTTTCCTTAGAATTTGGATAACCGAATTTACTGAAGGTGGGCAATTGCCCACACCTTGAGCTCTTCCTGATTCAACCCCTGCTTGATACAGCATCCCTTTGGAGCTCGTACACTAATCAAGCCAAACCGAATCAAATTAGGCTCTGATTCCAATCTCTTAAAATTTTCATAAGATTTTACATATACTATATCAAATATCATATTAAATAAAACTTTATAAACCCAACACACATGCTTGAAAATATAATATGGTGAGATTCATGAACACTATTCTAAAAGCCTAACTATAAGGGCAAGACCTATGAACTCCTTTCATGAAAAATGGGTGCTCACTTTTTACATAGTCAAAGGGCATCATTGAATATGCTCAATTGGAAAGCAATATCTTCCTTCAAATTGAACTTTTTTTTTTTAATCAAATGAAGCATAAGACAAATCCACTTCCATAATTTACGGTTACATCCCCCCTTTGCTTCAAACCAGATTCCATTTGTCTTTATAATATAATAATAATGATAATCTAGCCTAAATTTTTATATTTATTTAATATTATATTTAAAATTTTAAAGTATATAAGAACTAGGTATTGCTTTGCAAAAATGAGAAATATCGCTCTGTGAAGACCAATACCATGCAAATACCGAGTTGTACAGAGTTTTTCTACAACTCGGTATTTGCTCGGGATTTGCTCGGTATTGCTAGGGATTTGCTCTGTATTGCTAGGTATTTGCTCGGTATTGCTAGAAAAAACTCGGTACAACTCGGTACAAATCGGTATTTGCTCGGTATTGCTAGGTATTTGCTCGGTATTGGTTATTGCCGAGCAAAATTGACCAATACCTAGTAATACCGAGCAATCTTGGGTCCGTTTCGGGACGGGTTTTCGGGGCGCACGGTAAATAATGAAAACGCGTGGCGCGATTCTACTGGCGGCCGAACGTAGAGTTGCGTACGTTCACTGGACCAAATAAAAGTTCCATCAAGTTCGTCTATTTGAGGAGAAGTTATTATATGCGGTCACCAAACAGTTCAAAGACGAATTATGATGCACCACGTTACCCGGTACATAATGATATAGATCATCGATCACAACAAAA